TCCCTGTACACCTCACATACCTAATACCTCCTTCCTGTATGCGTCACATACTTGATACCTCCTCCCTGTATACCTCACATATCTCACACCTCCTCCTTGTATACCTTACATACCTGATATCCCAACCCTGTACACCTCACATACCTAATACCTCCTCCCTGTATACCTCACATACATGATACCTCCTCCCTGTACACTTCACATACCTGATACTTCCATCCTGTACACCTCACATACCTGATACCTCCTGCCAGTACACCTCACACACCTGATACCTCCTCCCTGTATACCTCACATACCTGATACCCCACCCCTGTACACCTCACATACCTGATACCTCCTCCCTGTATACCTCACATAACTGATACCTCCTCCCTGTACACCTCACATACCTAATACCTCCTTCCTCTATACCTCACCTACTTGATACCTCCTCCCTGTATACCTCACATATCTCACACCTCCTCCTTGTATACCTTACATACCTGATACCCCAACCCTGTACACCTCACATCCCTAATACCTCCTCCCTGTACACCTCACATACCTGATACCTCCTGCCAGTACATCTCAAATACCTGATACCTCTTCCTAGTACACCTCACATACTTGATACCCCCTCCCTGTGCATCTCACATACCTGATACCTCCTCCCTGTATACCTCACATACCTTATACCTCCTCCCTGTGCACCTCACATACCTGATACCTCAGCCCTGGATAGCTCACACACTTGATACCTCCTCCCTGTATACCTCACATACATGATACCTCCTCCCTGTGCACCTCACATACCTGATACCTCAGCCCTGGATAGCTCACACACTTGATACCTCCTCCCTGTATACCTCACATACATGATACCTCCTCCCTGGATACCTCACATACCTGATACCTCCTCCCTGTATACCTCACATACCTGATACCTCCTCCCTGGATACCTCACATACCTGATACCTCCTCCCTGTATACCTCACATACATGATACCTCCTCCCTGGATACCTCACATACCTGATACCTCCTCCCTGTATACCTCACATACCTGATACCTCCTCCCTGTATACCTCACATACATGATACCTCCTCCCTGTATACCTCACATACCTGATACCTCCTCCCTGTATACCTCACATACCTGATACCTCCTCCCTGGATACCTCACATACCGGATACCTCCTCCCTGTATACCTCACATACCTGATACCTCCTCCCTGTATACCTCACATACCTGATACCTCCTCCCTGTACACTTCACATACCTTATACCTCCTCCCTGTACACCTCACATACCTGATACCTCCTCCCTGTATACCTCACATACCTGATACCCTCTCTGTATACCTCACATATCTGATACCCCACCCCTGTACACCTAACATACCTAATACCTCCTCCCTTTATACCTCACATACCTGATACCTCCTCCTTGTATACCTCACATACCTGATACCCTCCCTGTATACCTCACATACCTGATACCTCAACCATGTACACCTCACATACCTGATACCTCCTCCCTGTATACCTCACATACCTGATACCCCACACCTGTACACCTCACATACCTGATACCTCGTCCATGTATACCTCACATACCTAATACCTCCTCCCTGTATACCTCACAAACCTAATACCTCCTCCCTGTATACCTCACATACCCGATACCTCCTCCCTGTATACCTCACATACCTGATACCTCCTCCCTGTCTACCTCACATACCTGATACCTCCTCCCTGTATACCTCACATACCTGATACCTCCTCCCTCTGCACTTCACATACCTGATACCTCAGCCCAGGATAGCTCACACACTTGATACCTCCTCCCTGTATACCTCACATTCCTGATACCTCCTCCCTGTATACCTCACATACCTGACATCTCCTCCCTGTATACCTCACATACATGATACCTCCACCCTGTGCACCTCACATACCTGATACCTCATCCCAGGATACCTCACACACTTGATACCTCCTCCTTGTATACCTCACATACCTGATACCTCCTCCCTTTATACCTCACATACCTGATACCTCCTCCCTGTACACTTCACATACCTTATACCTCCTCCCTGTACACCTCACATACCTGATACTTCCTCCCTGTATACCTCACATACCTGATACCCTCCCTGTATACCTCACATACCTGATACCCCACCCCTGTACACCTCACATACCTTATACCTCCTCCCTGTACACCTCACATACCTGATTCCTCCTCCCTGTATACCTCACAAACCTAATACCTCCTCCCTGTATACCTCACATACCTGATACCCCACCCTGTACACCTCACATACCTAATACCTCCTCCCTGTACACCTCACATACCTAATACCTCCTTCCTGTATACCTCACATACTTGATACCTCCTGTCTGTATACCTCACATATCTCACACCTCCTCCTTGTATACCTTACATACCTGATACCCCAACCCTGTACACCTCACATCCCTAATACCTCCTCCCTGTACCCCTCACATACCTAATACCTCCTCCCTGTACACCTCACATACCTGATACCTCCTCCCTGTATACCTCACATACCTGATACCTCCTCCCTGTACACCTCACATACCTGATTCCTCCTCCCTGTACACCTCACATACCGGATACCCCACCCCTGTACACCTCACATACCTAATACCTCCTCCCTGTACACCTCACATACCTGATACCTCCTCCCTGTATACCTCACATACCTGATACCCTCCCTGTATACCTCACATACCTGATACCTCAACCATGTACACCTCACATACCTGATACGTCCTCCCTGTATACCTCACATACCTGATACCCCACCCCTGTACACCTCACATACCTGATACCTCCTCCCTGTATACCTCACATACCTGATACCTCCTCCCTGTATACCTCACATACCTAATACCTCCTCCCTGTATATCTCACATACCTGATACCCCACCCCTGTACACCTCACATACCTGATACCTCCTCCCTGTATACCTCACATACCTGATACCTCCTCCCTGTATACCTCACATACCTAATACCTCCTCCCTCTATACCTCACATACTTGATACCTCTTCCAAGGACACCTCACATACCTGATACCTCCATCCTGTACACCTAACATACCTGATACCTCTCCCTGTACACTACACATACCTGATACCTCCTCCCTGTACACCTCACATACCCGATACCTCCATCCTTTACACCTCACATTCCTGATACCTCCTCCCTGCACACCTCACATACCTGATACCTCCTCCCTGTACACCTCACATACCTGATACCTCCTCCCTGCACACCCCACAAACCTGATACCTCCATCCTGTACACCTCACATTTCTGATACCTCCTCCCTGTACACCTCACATACCTGATACCTCCTCCCTGTTCACCTCACATACCCGATACCTCCTCCCTGTACACCTCACATACCTGATACCCTCTCCCTGAACACCTCACATACCTGATACCTCCTCCCTGTACACCCAACATACCTGATACCTCCATCCTGTACACCTCACATACCTGATACCTCCTCCCTGTACACCTCACATACCCGATACCTCCTCCCTGTACACCTCACATACCTTATACCCTCTCCCTGCACACCTCACATACCCGATACCTCCTCCCTGTACACCTCACATACCTTATACCCTCTCCCTGTACACCTCACATACCTTATACCACCTCTCTGTAAAGTTCACATACCCGATACCTCCATCCTGTACACCTCACATACCCGATACCTCCATCCTGTACACCTCACATACCTGATACCTCCTCCCTGTACACCTCACATACCCGATACCTCCTCCCTGTACACCTCACATACCTGATACCCCCTCCCTGCACACCTCACATAACTGATACCCTCCCTGTACACCTCACACACCCGATACCTCCTCCCAGTACATCTCACACACCTGATACGTCTCTCTGTACACCTCACATATCTGATACCTCCTCCCAGTACATATCACAAACCTGATACGTCTCCCTATACACCTCACATACCTGATACCTCCTCCCTGTTTACCTCACATACCCGATACCTCCTCCCTGTTCACCTCACATACCTGATACCTCCTCCCAGTACATCTCACATACCTGATACCTCCTCCCTGTATACCTCACATACCTGATACCTCCTCCCTATACACCTCACATACCTGATACCTCCTCCCTGTATACCTCACATACCTGATACCTCCTCCCTGTACGCCTCACTGATACCCTCTCCCTGTAAAGCTCACATACCTGATACCTCTTCCCTCTATACCTCACATACCTGATACCTCCTCCCTGGACACCTCACATACCTGATACCTCCTCCCAGTTTTCCTTCCCATACAAATCATACAAGTAGTTATTGCAGTTATTTGATCACGTATTAATCATTCTGAGACAATCATAAAATGTCGAGTTTCAAGGCAGATAACTCGTGTTGCCCTTCAGTCGCGTCAACGTGAGACAAGCTTCATTTTCATGTGTTATTCATTGTTACCTGTCCGGTCTGTATGTGTGACGTGTTCAGGTGTGTGATATAGGAGCTTAATCTTGAATACACATAAAATGTGACCATTACAAATGCCATAAACTGAGTCTATAGTACGATCAGGGTGATTCAATGGCAGGACTAGAAACAAGCGAGTATGTATACTTTGGCACAAACGTATGTAGATAATTTATGACAGGCAGCGTGCGTAACACGTGCCAGTTTCGGAAAATAAAACATTTTAAAAAGGGGCAATAATATGTTAATTTCACTTGTGATTATATAATCGTTGAAAATAATGCACATAATTTTATTCAACTGCCCCGAGCATAAAAGATCATGCAGTCACATTTGAACATTTCCGCAGATGTGGAACAAAATGCATATGTGTTCACAGCAGTCACTATTCATAGTTTAACTGCGAATACATGTACAACTTCAGTCAAAACGTCATACATAATGTTGTAGCATTACTAAATGGATTGGCATCCTCTACTTTCGTTTCGAGTCTATAAAGACTGGTCTTGCGATCGCGTGTGTATATTGCGTCAGACGCCGCCGTGAGAAGAACTTGTCTGACGGTGAGCTGCAGTTGTACAGGTCGACAACGTCGAAGTGAGTTCCGTCATGGCTGATGCTAAAGACCCCCATGTCCAGGTTGAGGATGAGGTCACCCCGTGGACTGTCCAGAGCGTGTCCCAGAAAGGCGTGGACTACAACAAGCTCATAGGTAGGACCCTTCCATTGACTTTCATAGGTTTCGCCTTAGGAACGCAAATCGACACAGCAGCTATTTAACAGTCAAACTAATTGATGAGGATAACAGGGATAACACAAGTATTTTCAAATGCCGTCATTCATCATTAGAACGTAACACACGGAAAACTTCGTCCAGAGATAACTGATTGCTGTATCACATGTATATGCGACATGGGTATGGCAAGTTAGAAATTAGACTTTTTCACTTCTTCATTATGTTTGAGTATTAGAACGTAGATATGTCAGTGAACACGTGTCAAGTTCTTATTGCGTCGTATATATATGTTTAACCTTGAATAATGTTTTGGGGAAGTTTCATTTTCAATCCTTATATCACGTACATTGTAAAGTAGAATGCATTGGCCCATGACTATCGCCTCGCTGAACAATCAAACAATCGCGACTCTTGGAAATCAATGGCCGTTTTCCCAATTCCTCGGGAATTAGTGCTGACGTGACGTGGCGTGTCTCATGTAAACATAGGCGTTAACGGTTAACACTTGATGTGTAATATATAGAAGTATTGCAGTATTCACCAAATATTGTACTGACAATATGAAAGACGGCAGACTCCATAAAGGACACCTGTTTGGATACGCACAATGTATTGTAATTTTTGACATTTAATACGGTCGAAATAGTGAAACAGAAGGTTAAATTAGTTTGGTATACGTGTCTCTGTCTGTTTTGTTCTATGTAACATTGACTCAAAATCCAAAATACAGCACATTTACATACATATGTATTCTTTGATTTTAAGGTGACTGAATAAAGAATGTTGGTTCGGTCTCTAAGCAGGGCGGTTCATGTTTATACACAAGTTTATGTGACCGTTATGTCAGTTTGGGAAGCATGACATTTTAACGAGACCAAAAATTGTTCAAAAGTGGCAGTTTCACTTTGGCAACATGTACAAAAAGTACAATTTTCCAACGCTAATTCCAATCATACAAAATGCTTTTGTTGCTATTAGTGTATGCAAAGCTTTATTGGTTGTTAAGCGAGCACCTGGAGTCATACCTGATTTTCAGTGAACCATTCATTTGATGTTCACAGCTATTTTGCTTTTTACTCCCGATGGAATGTGTTTCGTCGGATAATCTATTATTCTGGTTTTTCTTTGGTATTGACGTGGTACTTGTTTTGGTAACTATTATACAAGTTTTGTTGATTTCAAGAAACATGGAGAGTTACGCGGATGTGAGTGGTCGCGAGATAGAGTGTGTATATATCACCTAGTCTTCTACAAACAGATGTATCGTCTTAAAACAGTATGAGTTTGTATATATACTCCTTGTATTTTTTCTGCAAGGTTAAAACTACGCACGGCGAGTACCTATCATTTAGGAATATGTCGTATTAGTTTACAATATGACAAGTATTTTTCACTTAAATTCAATTCTGCATTAGGTGTTCGAAGTCTTTCATCTGTCCTATATTTGTAAACCGGTTTTCATGTATTTAAATCCTGCTCTTTGCCAGTTTGAGGAAGTGGTAATATGTTAAATTCGTACAAATTTAATAATAACTTGTTGTTGAAATCCATGTAATTTCATTTCATTTCATTTTATAGTACTAAGGGTTATGATCACATCTTTCAAAAATATTTTTTAAATTTTTATTTTTTTTAGCGGGGTTTGGGTGGGGGATTTTTTATTGTTCCCTGAGTTGTGGAGTTATACAGTATTCCGTCAAAACATATTTCGGATTGCATGGAATGACACAATACACTCCAAAATATGTTAATAATTGCCATACTTATGTTTGGAAACTGTCAAGATGAAACTTATCGATTGCAAGTATGGAGGAATAAATTGAATCGGTAGATGTTGAAAATATTATTGTAAGGAAACCATTTAACTTTCATGAATGTAATGATGAAGTTTCAAATTTCTCTTTGTATAGTTATTTATCGACACCTTGATTTTTCTGTTTTGTCACGTTTTCCAGACAATATATAATTAATCAGCAAACAACTGATAGTTTTGAAAAAAAGAATTCATTGCCGGGTACGCTATTCATTTTTTCACGGAAGTATTTCGTTGATCTTTGATAATTGTCTAGCTAAGATCATATTTACCATGAAGTTCGCATTAATTGAAAAACATTATACCAAGATGTTTCAAAGGCTCTTTCGAACAAAAAAAAGGAACAGTGTTCATGGAACATGTCGAAATTAACATGTTAAAATCTTTTGTGGATAATCTGAACTGTGAACTATGAACTGATGTGAAGTTAACAAATTGATTCCCTATAACTATTATTTCATATTGGTTTCTAATATATATATTTTGGTTGTTAAGACTTTGCATTTCTGTATCGCCGAGCGTATGATACAAAGATACCATTCCATTTGTGTCGCTTTTTAAGACAAGGGAGGGTGAAGAACCGGAATCTTTTTGTGGAAATCTGGTATCATATATTTTTGATTATGTAATTTCCTTTTTCACCCTCTTCTCACCATTTCGTTTTACTTCTAAGAATAATGCCCTTTATGTTTCTTGTCTATTTTTTTCTCATTTACCTCTTTGGGTTTTAAGATTTTGATCCGCATAGTTTAGCGTATAATATGAAGATTCCATTTCGTTTACGTTGTTTTTGTTTTTAATCTTGTTCCTTTTCATTATTCAGTCTTTTTTTGACAATTGAGTATGAAATGATTTCTGATCTTAATTACTTTTATTTTTATTTGGTCATTAATTTGAGTTTATTGTATCATCTAATTTACCTGATACAATACTATTCCTATTCTTTGAAGATTTCTAAAAAATCTTCGTAGTAATATTTCTCATTTGTGTTTTTTCTCTTTCTTTTTTACATTGTTCAGTGAAATTCTGACTCTAAATAGCTACTTCAGATGATTTTCCGAATGAATATTTTTTTCATTTTATATTTCCTTATTTGTGACTACCCTCGTTATAACCTGAATAACGCGTGATTATTGAAATGTCTGTCATAAAATAAAACAACCATTTTCCATCTCGCCAGACAAATTTGGCAGCGTAAGAATAACGGAGGACCTCATCAAGAGAATTGAACGTGTGACAGGGAAGAAACCACACCGTTTCCTCACAAGAGAAATATTCTTCTCACACCGGTATTGTCATCTCTTCACATCATTATCATGACGCTGTTTAGTATCAGGAATATATCTAAAATGTTAAAAAAGCAATAATAATAACGAAATTAGTAATGATAGTAGTAGTTGTTGTTGTAGTTGTAGATGTAACAAGAATAATGAAAATTGGACACTTTGATACTAGTACAATTTACCAATTGTACTTGACACATTGTTAAGGAATGACATGGGCCTTTTAGATCTCTTACGTTGTTAGTGGTCATAAGTTTCTTAAATTGGGACAGGTTTGGAAATTTAAGATAATGCCTATTTGCGAGTTCATATCGTTGTTTGAGAAATGCTTCACATCGAAATATATAATGAAATTCATCTCTCACAAAGTCACTTAGCCTAACCACCCGATCCCGGTAGTAGTAGTAGTAGTAGTAGTAGTAGTAGTAGTAGCAACAGCAGCATCAGTAGTAGTAGTAGTAGTAGTAGTTGTAGTAGTAGTAGTGGTAGTAGTAGTAGTAGTAGTAGTAGTAGTAGTAGTAGTAGTAGTAGTAGTAGTAGTAGTTTTTAAAAAAACTGTCCTTATCCACCAGTAACGTCCTATATCCTACACAGAGAGCTAGGCCAGGTCCTGGACATGTATGAGAAGAAGCAGCCGTTCTACCTGTACACTGGCCGCGGACCATCTTCAGAGGCCATGCACCTGGGCCATCTAATACCATTCATCTTCACTAAGTGAGTCAATCATACAAGTTGATATGATACGATGACCTTATACACTACATGAGTCAATAATATCTGATAATACATCACAGCGACATTGATGAACCTCATACCAGGTATTTTCACTGTCGTTCTGATGAGTGACATGCAGTACTTTTTCAGATCTTATTGACAAAGAGCTAAGTCAAGTCCTGGTCATGTATGAGACGAACCAGCCCATCTGCCTCTACACCGGCCGTAGGTCATCATAAACGCACCTGGGTCATCTAATACCATTCATCCTCACATCATTTCTTTTCACTGTCGTTCTATTAGTTACGTGCAGTACTATCTCAGCTCTTCTTGAAACAAAGTTGACTTTTGGGGACAAACATTGTATCGTTGTTTTCCAAAACATCATTCACGGTTATAGAATGTCGCTATGTTCAAACACTAACTTTATAAATACACAGGTTATAATAGTGTTGAAACGTGAGATATATGAAATAGCTGAATGGGCAATATTTCAGATGGCTACAGGATACTTTCGACGTTCCGTTGGTGATCCAGATGACAGATGATGAGAAATTCCTGTGGAGGGACCTGGAACTGGAGGAGGCACACCGCCTCGCGCATGAGAACGCCAAGGACATCATCGCTTGTGGATTTGACCTTGACAAGACTTTCATCTTCAGCGATCTGGAATATGTTGGGTAAGCCATGTTTCCAAAGCAAACATTGTTGTCGTTGTCGTAACATATTCCATGATTATGAGAATACTGGTGGTATAATGATCTAAAGAGCTTCATTTTGTTGTGTTGTTTCGTTACTCAGTGTCAGGCTTGTCAACATAATACCCATGTTAAAGGTGGTCACCGTCCATAAATTGAATTTATATATTAACAGTGTGGGGAAAGTATATTTTCGTCCTTCAGAATCAATGATATCCAAGTTCAAATTTATATTGTTTGTTTAGAGGCTCCATTGAATTTTACAAGAATATCTGTCGAGTGGAGAAGCTGGTCACAGTCAATCAAGCCAAGGGAATATTTGGCTTCACAGACAGCGACTGTATCGGCCAGATCAGTTTCCCGGCCATCCAGGCGGCGCCCAGCTTCAGCTCCTCTTTCCCACAGATCTTCAACGGAAGGAGTGACGTTCCCTGCCTCATCCCCTGCGCAATAGATCAGGTAGCCGACAATTTGTTCATCAGATATCTAGATATTTATATCCATAATGCTGAGACTTATACCGTTCAACTCAACAATCGTTCATGCGTGTACCCTTTTTACTTGAGCACAAACAAGATATTTTTGTTAAAATGTTGGCAGGACCCGTATTTCCGGATGACACGTGATGCGGCACCCCGGATGAAATGCCACAAACCAGCCCTGATTCACTCCGTATTCTTTCCTGCTCTGAAGGGGGCTAAAGGGAAGATGAGTTCCAGTGACCCAACATCTTCAATTTTCCTCACTGACTCGGAAAAGGATATTGCTGACAAGGTGAGATAATAACTGAACGTGCTTGAACATATGTGGATAGAAAGGGTAGTAAATATGTGTAGGAAGGTTCAACTGGTTGTGATAATTATTGTTACAGTTAAAAAGAAAGAAGCACACATTGTTTGACGTATTTCTTTGCAGATTAACAAGTTCGCATTTTCAGGCGGCCAAGACACAAAAGAGGATCAGGAAAAACATGGTGGCGACTGTTCCATTGATGTGTCCTACCAGTATCTCAGGTTCTTCCTGGACGATGATGCTAAGCTGAAACGTATCGAAGAGGTGAGTGTGGCAGTAGTTTGGTGTGGATTACACAACTAATGGGGTGGGACGTAGGTTAGCTTTATACATGTACATCTCTATCGTCAGGAAAATTTCAGGATGTTTCAGGAAAATTTACTGTTCTCAGTAAACTTCTGATGGCATTTGCTTTTATTTTTGACATATTGTCCCGAAACTGTTAAGACAGAGATGGACCGGGTTAGAAAAGGTCTTCAGCAATCCATGCTTGCCGTAATTGGTGGCTAACGGAATCGGGTGGTAATGCATGGTTGATGCATATCATCGTTTTTCAATTGCCCAGATCGATGCTTATGGTGTCAATTACTAGATTGTCTGGTCATGATTCGATTTTTTACAGACCGCCGTCATATAGCTGGAATATTGCTGCGTTAAACAACAAACAAACAAACGAAGATAGAGATACAACTATGATTGTGTTCACTGCGTTTAGTAGCAAATGTCCCATGGATTAAGGAATGAAGTTGTTCCTTACGTTTGTAATGTGGAATAATTGTGTAAAAAGTAAACACAATTGAACGTTCTTTTGAGTTTTTGTGAAGCCACATATTCAAATACTTTCTGTGAGTATAAAGTAAGTCCTAACTTGGTTGTATTAAGGAATATGTTTGATGTTTGAAACAGCGATTTGGTGGTACGTTTACTCGATACCAAGACTATCTTCACGCACTGCATTTGCATGTAGAGGGAGAAGAGATGTGAAGGGAGTGAATGTGAGACTTTAAGCAAGCAATTATAGGTATTGGAGGCACTACCACAACATGATTAAATGACTGTACAGTTGCGTTAAGTTAAGTATACACTATGCTATAAGTACCGACACGAAGGCTAGAGATCGTGCTCGAGGACATACTTGGAAGATCCTGGCTCCAAATGACTTCATTACTTTGGCTTCCAGTCATCAGACGACGTTGTTTCATTGTGCTCCAGTTACTTGTGGCATGACATCGCAGCTAAACAGTTTTTATTACCAACCAGCAAACTCACATCACCTATGCTTTTTTGTAAGGACCTCCATTACCATATTGTTATATGCTGTATCGTTGTATTGCGTGACCATCTCACATTATCACCTTTTTCACTTTTTGGACATATTGGAGGTGTTGTCCACATGTCATGTCATTCTATTTCCTTTTCGTTCTGTGTTATTGTTATTTCGATTGTGGCTATATCGCAATATCGCTATATCGTATCGCAATATTGACTCTTACTGTCATTATAGACTACGATGCAGCGATGCCCCCTTTCGTCCAGCATATCCAACACATGTTCTATTTTGTATGGCCAGTAGTCATTGAAAGACAACGGAAGTTTACTTTTATGTTGCAGCGGTACACCAGTGGACAGATGATGACAGGAGAGCTGAAGCAAGAGCTCATCAAGGTCCTTCAGACACTGGTTTCCGGTCATCGTGAGCGGCGTGCACAAGTCTCCGACGCCATGGTGAACTACTACATGACGCCCCGGAAACTCAAGTACAACTACACCGACCCATCTAAGCCCCTGGGCACTTGCTGAGGAGAAACACTCCGATAGATAGGGAATGGTCATTGTGGGTTAATATGTTCCTATTTCCTGATTTCAAAGATACGTACATCCAGTTTATAAGGCCTTTTCTCACAGCGCACTCGTTCTTTATCTTTTAAATCTGTATTCTCGATTCAGAAATACATGGAAATCATATTTTCTTCTACTGCATATACGTAGAACATGTTAGGAGCAAAAGCAAGGCGTATGCAGCACAAATAGTTGGTAATCGTGTAAAACAGTTTCAGGAAACCTTTTTCAACAAGTTAGAATACTTGTAGAATACACTGCTTAAACTTTGTCGTGCAACTTGGAACGCCGAGGATGACAGTTGGAATCATGTATTTGGTGTATTATTCATGCAATGACGAATGGGTTATAAAACGTTTATAAAATCCGATTCAATTTTGGGTCGTAATCCATTGAATTGTGTAAGAAAACAACTTGCTTAAAATGAAATTCTACTACCTTTCTTGTTTGAATTTGGAGCATTTGTCTCGGGTTTTGTAAGCTATTTTCAAAGTACCTGTATACATGTAGAGACGAGAGACATTCAAACTTGAGCAAATTGGCAAAATGGATTTTGTGTTGTCGGTCACTCCTATTACTTAGACATTGAATTACAATAAATATGAACTAAAATCCTACATGTTGTTGAATGTCAGTCAAAATCGAAAAGAACTTGCAATTTGCGCCCTGTTTAAATCCTACTATCTGAATAAATGTGTAAAATCTCAGTTTATGCTTTGTTTACTGTCAACATTTGAATACGTTTTACATTTATTGGATATTAACAAGGTCCCAGCATGCAGACAAGGATTCTTATGCTTATGGTTTCAAATACTTTTCACCGCTATATTGCATTTTACGCCTATTGGAAGCTGTTTCGTGGGAAAATCGAGGTTGGTTTTTCTCTAGCACTGAATTTTTATATTTCTACAACAATGGTTGTTTACGTCATGAGTATTGGTTGATTACAACATCTGGTCATACATATTACCAAACAAAATTGTGTTATACCTGTACTGTCTTGGTTTTATTTGACATGGATATTTTAGATTGACTTGGGCACACATTTCAGCAAGAGGTGATTTAACTTACATGTTGATTTTGTCGTAACTGCGTTTGTGGGTTAACTGAGCCCCACTATAGTCACCTATTTTATTGTCGTTCAGTGTCGTCATGGGCAAGGTAAGCCATGACTTAGCAACTCGCTTGGTCAGAATCGGCTCATCTTAGTCAAGGAGTACTAGTGATTTGTCTATCGACTCTTACTCCGAACTGTAGGTTATATACACAAATCATATGTTTCACCTATGCACCTTGCACCCACCAGGTTCGAGTATAACCTTTCTTTGTCATTTGTGACAATGCCTCAATTTGATTCGATGAAAGTTAGACCTGGCCACGGACTCATGTGTGTCATAATCGGAAATATACCGAAGCCTAGAATTTCACCTGGTTCTATTTCGAGAGCCATTGAACGCCGCCCATTGAAGTGAAATTGAATATCACACAGGGATTTAATCTCTTGTGCGTTTTGATCGAACAAAGCGAGTGTGCATGTGAGTGCTTTTTCGGCCATGGGCTATGAAGATTGAACAGTGTTGTTCGTGTTCACCATAACATGGTTGAAAATTCCAAGTAGAAAATTCAATATACTGATCTTTTGATTCCGAAAGAGCAAGATAATCCGATAAGTTCATAACCTGAGTGACTGACCAATGAAAATATTTAAAACATGTTTATGCGTAAGACACTTGTTAATCTTTACGCGTAAAGACTTTGACCAATGGTTTTACCAGTAGCATCAATCGCTTTTCGAGTAATGCATTTCTGTGTTTGGTCAATCTATCGGTTACATGTCTAGATACTGGCTACAGTCATCACGCGTCACCACACAAAATGATGAAAACGTTTTACCAAATCAACAAATGTCATAACTTAACCATGCAGCTGGAAAACTGCTCAGTGTAGCGTGAAGCAGCAAACAAGCAATAGTAGGCGTGGCTTCGGTATTACATTAAATCCCCTGAAAGGATTTTGATAAGTCATTGTGACATATGGTTGCGCCATGACGTGTTGCTCATAAACTTCACATACCTATGAAGTGATACATAGTGACTCAATGTTGACTCTCGTTGATGTTAGTTATTTGTCGATTTCCTCAAGAATCAAAGCATTTCTGAGGAAGTGAAGTTGAACAATGATCGTATATATTAGTCATTCATGGAATTCCTCAAGAATCAAATCATTTCTGAGGAAACAAAAGTTGAGCCGTGATCTATAAATACGTATGACAACCATCGGTGGAAACTACGATCTGTGGGAAAGAACTGAAAACGCTTGTGAAGTTAGGATTTCTATTCTAACAGTTTATAGAGAACATTCGTTTATTTCATTTTTAAAATCCCAAAAGGGACACGACATTAATATGTTATAACAGACACACAGAGAGGTGGGGGACTGAAACTTAGTCCGTTTGAGAACATGAACAGGTGTCGAAGACGATTAAACAGATTTATTAATTAAAATGACATTTCGATCAATGACAGCTACAGATATTAAATAATCTACTCACCTATCTTTCCAACCGTATATACATATACACTTCAGCACCACACAGATCAGTGTCCATCAATCTATACATTCCCCTTCAAGATCACTTCAGCACCACACAGATCAGTGCCCATCAATCTATACATTCTCCTTCGAGAACACTTCAGCACCACACAGATCAGTGTCCATCAATCTATACATTCCCCTTCAAGAACACTTCAGCACCACACAGATCAGTGCCCATCAATCTATACATTCCCCTTCGAGAACACTTCAGCACCACACAGATCAGTGTCCATCAATCTATACATTCCCCTTCAAGATCACTTCAGCACCACACAGATCAGTGTCCATCAATCTATACATTCTCCTTCGAGAACACTTCAGTACCACACAGATCAGTGTCCATCAATCTATACATTCCCCTTCAAGATCACTTCAGCACCACACAGATCAGTGTCCATCAATCTATACATTCCCCTTCAAGATCACTTCAGCACCACACAGATCAGTGCCCATCAATCTATACATTCCCCTTCAAGATCACTTCAGCACCACACAGATCAGTGTCCATCAATCTATATATCAATCTACATGTTTAGCTCAGCACAACGTGTTGATCAGAGTTCATCCATCTTTACACTCCCAACACTTCGAAAAACACAGAGTGGTGTCCATCTATCTGTACATGTACATCCGTAGATGCCTATACATGTACATCCGTAGATGCCTATACATGTACATCCGTACATGCATGTACACTTCAGCACAACACAGACCAGAGTCCTCTACATCTTCACATGGCAACAAAATGAAACGTGAAAGCAAAGGCTGGATCAGGAGGAGTAACAAAACATTAAATCATTGTTAAGTTTTAATCCTTTTAAAGCAAGTTTAATTACGTACACTGTTCACCTTTTATCTCACCTTTTACTCTTTTGGTGAGCAAATCCAAGGCATTTATACAGAGGTAGGAATATATGTCCATTTCTATTGTCACTATTATTTTTCAGGTTCGCCAGTAGAAACATTTTTTTAAATAAAAGTGACAAACCCTTTCCATATTCATCAGAAATCTATTCCAAAAGCAGAGTTGACTGTAAGATTCCGACTATATCATGAGCATGTGTTTATGAATTAATATCAAATAGTGGTGATAACAGGTTTCGCACAAAGGTGAGCGTATCCTGCCCTACCGGTGGTACCCGTCTCAAACACAAGCAAAGGCAAGTCAAGAGTTCACTCGAAAATGCACGGAAACATATGATATAAGTCAAAACAGGGAATTGCATGAATAATGTTGGGTCTTTTTGTCGAATTTGGAAATGTCCTCAACATGTCTGCAATAAAACGTTTTGGAAGCCGTACTGAGGCCTTGAATGTTGTAACCTTGGTCAAACAACTCCTGAGCACGAGTCGTATAGCGCTCTTTCAAATATTGGTAGAAAGAGCATGCACGATTGTATCACAAAAGTTGTGAAACGTAAACACAAAAGGCTGGAGCTGCTGGAATATTGCTCGCCATGAAGGGAAAGTTGACTATTGGAAGGTTGAAGTCATCCCTCTTGTCTTACAGTCTTCTGGAAAGTGTTGGGGTTTTTTCGATTCCTTTGCTTTAAGAAAGATATCCACAAGAAGGGGAGTACAGCTGGTGCCCATGGGGATGCCTACTTCTTCCCTAAATGTATTACCCCCCACATTGTACGTAGATATTATCAATGAAGTCCAGCATTTCACATATTGTTTTCTCAGTAAAGTTCATATGGCATTTGCTTTCAATTTTGACAATTAGACCTGACCCCCTGAAGAAAGATATGTAACTGCATCTGTGGTCACCACGTTTTAAACAAAAGCCCCTTGGATCAAGGAGTGAAGTCATAGTGGTGTCCAAAGTTGAAGAATCAAACGTTTTGACTGAACTGAAATTGGTTCTTTTCTGAGATTGTAAAACGTCTGTGAATATGCAGAAAGTCCTTCCTTGATTGTGTAAAGAAATATGGTTAATCGTTGAGACTTATTTGCTGGACCCAACTATATACATAGTCTCTCTGTTTGTACGGATTGTTATGGTAAGTGCAAAAGAAGAATGGACATGTCTTCAGGTTTTAGAGTTTATAGTTTTGATGTGTCACTTAAACCAAGTTCTCTTATACGATAGGGTAAAAAGATCATGTAATCGCACCACCATTTTCGGCCTTTTTCATTTTGTCTGTACAGGTAAATTTACCACGGGAGTAAATATGGTGCATTTTCCTTTCACATACATTTTCATATATAACTCACACACTGCATCAAAGTAAATTCTTTGAAACTGTCATCCAATCATAATATTCCGGCTATTAAATTGATAATTTTGAACAAAAACATTTTCACGAACAAAACGCACCGAAAGCAAAATATTTTTGTACCGATTCTACACTGTATTATCCTTGTCATGATCTTCAGCTAGATGTTTAGTAGAATTGAACTGCTTTGAAGGAAATGAGGTTTTGTATTTATTTCAGGTGAGTATACTTCATATGTTTTTCGTTGACCAAACGCCTATTCCTTGTATGTTCTTTGTTTAGTTTTTTTTAACGCTGCCCTGTAATCCACACAGACAGACGGTTTGAGGTACTAGGGACCTGTTCTGACAAGTATGATGCCCTATATCAGATCATGAAACCAGCAACTGGGGACAAGTGTGTTTTTAACAGCAGTGTTGAAGTTTTCGAAAGTATGCATAATATATCTAGTTAATATTTGAAAAAAAACAAGAAACACACACACACCCACACCCACCACTACACCCACAACCACACCCACACCCACAACCACAACCACAACCACAACCACACCCACAACCACAACCACAACCACAACCACAGCACACCCACACCCACACCCACAACCACAACCACAACCACAACCACACCCACACCCACACCCACACCCACACCCACACCCACACCCAACACCCCGTTTCAAGATGGTACAACTTTTGGACACATAACCTGGCCGCTTGATACATCATAAAGATATGTAGTGCAATATTCATATTTGATCATTTGTCAAAAGTTTACTTTCCTTTTCCCCATATCTATCATAAACATAGATAATTCAAAGCATCCACGAAGTGAAATAAATGAACCTTATAGGGACGCAACACAGACGTTAAAAACTTGATCCGTTTCGTTAA